CCCTTGTAGAAGGATTTAATAAATTATTATCATTATTATTATAGATCAAAATAAGATCTGCAATTTCTCGTCTGTTTCTCAATGTTACAAAATTAAATTCATTCAGAAGACAAATGTATTCATAATTTCTAACCGGATAGTTTCCATGTTTCTTATAATAAGCAAACTTGAAAAATTTCTTCTGAACACCTTCCAAAGCATCACTGTATTTTCTTTGATCAGGATTCCAGACAGAACTACAATACTCTGGTTTACTACGTATCAAACTATAGTAAACCGACCCTATACATTCAAATGATCTAAACTATCTGCAACTTCTTATTAAAATCCCAGCGACTTAGAAGCTCTCTGAACAGTATTTTCAATGTATGCATTAAATGTAAGTAAGTTTATTGTCGAATAAGATTCCTAAGTCGAGAGATTATCATTAACTCTTGGTAAGTTCATATTATCAATTGCATAATTGAACTGGTACGGATTAAATATTCGGCCATAATTTCACATTTTCCAACATTGAGAAACAGTTTTTTGTCATTAAACCACTTCTGGAGGGAGTTCAAATCCCTCTGTAGCAAATCAGCTTTTTTGATTGTTGTTGATTGAAGCGCATATGTCATCTGTAAAAAGTAAAAATAACAATGGCCCCAAATAGATCCTTGGGGAACCCCCGACTGTGTGATGAAGATAGTATTTCATTGTAAATATGTTAGTTTCAATTGAAAGACATATATTTTTGGGAGAGAATAATTTTTGGGAAAGAAAAGTTTTGGCTTTCTACTAGTCCATCTTCATACAATAAAAATGTGTAAATATTTCGATTTCAAAAACTTCAAACAACGAAGATGAGTAGGTCATGCAAAAGAAGTAACACGAAAGAAAAATCCTTACTGGAAACAAATAGTTTTATATGAACACCGAATCATACACAAAACACATTTCTCTATTCAGTTTGGATTCCAAACATTCGTTATGGAATCGAATCAGATATCATTCACAGGATTATTACACAATATAGTAAATGAAAGAGGTCAAATTTCACTTTTTCGTAAAAAGATGAAAAAGTAGAAAGCTAAAACGTTTCTTTCTCCAAAATGTTTTTTTTGTGGATACATCCGAATTTTTTGTGCAAGTTTTCTCTATTTCTCGTGCCTTCAAACTAACAGCACACTTGCAATGTGCATGTGCAATTAAATAAACTGAATGCAATAACTTTTTTATAATCAGGTAATTTCACTGTCACAAAAATCGTCTTCAGATTTCGTTTTTTCATCAGAATATCATGCATCAGCAAGAAAATAATGTATAATAACTACAATTACCCCGGGAAGGGATATGAATTCTGAAATACATAAAATTATTCACAGTTCGAAAAGCATCCTGAATTAAATTTTTTTAAATTAGAAATTTCAAAATCTACGCAAAAGCGGTTCGAGGCGTTTTTTCTATTGATAAGGTAGATTGATTTTATCGTATTTTGGACGACCAAAGGAAAAAGTGACTTCATTTTTGAGGAAACGGGAAATTCGGGAAATCATGGGTATATAAATTAAAGTGTGGAACCTGCCCTAAGGTATATATTGGTCAAACTGGCAGAACATTTAGGAATTCAATCCAATAACATCATACTAGCTATGGAGCTATGTATATGAAAAAANACCACTTTATAATTTCAAATATTCTGAGTGACGAATATTGGAAAAAAAAACCTGTCATGCTAGATATCTCGAAAACCATCAATATTTTCGAAGTGCAGATATACATAAAGTTTATTTTATTTTCTATGAAGAAACCGAAAAAGCGATAAAAAATATAGGTTGCCATTTAAAAAGACACAGTTGGGATCCGCCCGAAAAAATCGAACACCCTGTGTGACCGCCAATATTTTTATTTTGTCGAGCTCGAGCAATAAGGTAATATTATAGAAAATTAGATTCCTATCTGCTTCCTACATAGAGATATGGAACACCGCGCCACTGTTGCAGGACCCTGTATATTGAAACATATTGCATATTGAAAAACCATTGTCCATTCCTAAAATACGTCCCATTTCATCTCCCATGCCTTACATCGACTTTAATTGATTTTACCGTATAATAGCAGACTATTTTCTTCCCTTCATCTATCTCTTACGTGATAAATTCCTTATTCTTTCAACATCAATCGCAACTTATACTATCTCTCTTGCTAGTTTTGATATAGATTCTTTTTGTTGTTTTATTATTTCCTATTCGAAAGTTATTTGAAAACTTTGTGTGTAAAGTTCCTCTATTACTTATTTTCTGCGTCTTGATCCCCAGCACAATGAAAAAAATTCAATTCATTTACAAAAATTCTTTAAAAATACTTCATCTCGAAGTTGCCTACTACTTATTCTAGATCTGCTTTTCTGTAACTATATTGAGTTATTGTAAGTATTGTTAATTCAAACGAACTCCCATATATAACGACATATTCTAAATGAGTTGACTGTGATTTAGATTCGTAATTACGTTTTAAAAAACTTTCGACGTACTTTGTGTAATATTAATAGGAACAGTCGTAAAAATATACAGCTTTTTGTAGGCGTTCACTATGGTCCCTAATCCCTGTAAATTTATAACCTTTCAAAAATGATAACCTCGATGGAACAAACTTATATATAGTACGAACAATTGGGAAATATTCCTATGGCTTATCTGACTAATATTTACCAGTGGAAAATATCATAAAGACATACCTATCATGGAGTCTCAATTGTTCTTTTAAAATTTGATTATAATAAGCTCCAACTTTGACGTGAGCAGAATTTCAATTATACTAATGCATTTTTTGGAAACAACCGCTATGTACTTGCATTTCAAATATGTAATATATTCAAAAATATTCATTTAAATTACATGCTATGAGCCATATTGCTGCACAATGCACAATGCACAATATATTTATCTAAGGTACTTATTTCGATAAAGATTAATGCTGTATTGCCTAAAACCGCTTCGCAAGCCAATAATAAAAAATTTTTGTTGTGGATTATCCCACATATACCATCACAGACTTTTTTGTAGACTTTTTTTTGGTGTATTTTGATCTATCTCGTGAAGTTCAGCCAGAATTAGCAATGTAAGCGCAAAAAAATGTGTTTATATTAACGACATCACATTAAAAACCTCTAAAATTATCAGTGTTTCCCTACTATTGTATGAACACTTGAACTCT